AGTAGTAGTAGTCGCCCTGACGACAAGCATCTCCTGGCATAACACTTCTACCGTAGGATAAGACATCTTGATTTAGAACTGAACGTCAACAACATTTTCAACAAAATCGAGCTAGGTAAAGATAGTCTTCTCACCGTTTAGCGAGAAGCACTGGATCGTCATCTGACTAAACCAAGAGAAGGCAGTCACGCAGCATTTTAATAGGTCGACAATCACAACGGTGCGCAAGTACCCTCTAAATCAAATTACCGCGGATACTTTTAAGGCTGTCAGAGAATTCTAGAACACAGTGCTTTGACAGCACAAGCAGGGTGGCTTCCTCCTGTGTCGTTTTTACGTCATAGTGCAGCATGAATTCGGTCAGGGCAGTGCTATCAGACTGGTTTCAATTCAACCACAGTTTGGAGCCAGTGACTGTACCATTTCGGGTTGTGACCAAAATAAAGCTATGCCACAGTGAAACGCGAATCCGTCGGTGATGCAAAAATTTAGCTGAATCTACGATTGGTCGATATAGTTTGGATTAGCGTGTTTGCTTTGAGCGGTGATGCTGTCAGTTTTGTAGACAGAGAAACCTGAAGTAGACAACGTGACCCAAGTCTGGAGTCATAAACAATCAATGGGACGTTATCACTTCCTATCTGCTTTACTTGCAGTGTTTATTTTTGGATGGCTCAAACATGGCATGACACAGGTGAGTATTGAAATGTCATTTATTAAACTCCTGAGATATTATCATAAGTAGTATTAATTAATCTTTGCATTGACAAATAATAGACATAGCGATCCATAATCGCACGGGAATGAAGAACATAAGAGTTCATCTTTTGTTTCGGCTAAAGAACGATTTTAGTTAACGTAATTATACACATCTTAACGCACGTCGTTCTCTATATAACGGCAATGTTTATTGAAAAGCAAATTCTCCTTTTACGTCTTGCCGTTTTCTGGGACCGACTTTAGCCTTTTGTTAGTTCACTGACAAAATAAACATCAAATGTACAGGAAACAGTTGGCAGACGATTAAGAAGGGCTAGAAAAAAACAGTGGATGCCTAGAGTATTTCGTACAGGCTACCTACCTAGATCCATAGAATAAAAACCTAAATATAAGTTTTTAAATACCTTTTCCAAAATTCTGATCAACGGCCTTAATTCTTGACTCAATCAGGGGAATATTGTGTGCACATAGCTCTGCTATTTGACCCTACCGATGAAGCCCTTATGCTTACCATAGGCAGATAGAAAGTTGACTAACTGCATCACAATTTAATATAACGTGCACAAATCTGCTCACTTACTCAATGCCTTGAGATCCAAAAATGAAATTACAGCATCCTTACAAGAAACATCGAAGAATCCGATTGATATTGCAATTATATATCTTATATTACGGAGGTTCATTTCTCAGATGATTTGAAAATACTTTATTTGTTGTAACTTCCGTTAATTTTAGGTAAATTTGTTAAACAGATCATTGCAGACAGTATTGCTTAAATTGTCTTTAAACAACGTCTACATCATGTTTTAGCCGCAATACTAGACATATAGTCGCTCATACTACCACGAACTGTGAAAACGTCCAAATTCACTTTAGCCCTTACAACAATCACAAATATCATTTTGAAGTGAAAGTAAACACAACTATTATTAATGCTCGGGTAATTAAAAGAATGTGCACCTTAAATTACGATGCTCTCTGGTAACTCCAAGGACAAGTCTCACGCACTCTGCATCAGGAATTTAATGACACATTATTGAGAAATTACCCCAAATCGTTTCCCACAATTTCGAAAATGTAGGCCTTCTGAACAGAAGTAGGTATTATGCATTATCGGCAAGACAAAGGACACTAGAGTTGTTGTAACGGTAGCCAAGGCTGAGATATTACCGCCTATGTACACCTTGTGTGAGTCCCTCGAGGATGAACAAGAAGAAGAAGTCCTCCCTCTTCAGCATTCGATAAGTCACAAAATGGTGAAAAGCGAGACCGACGATTTTCTGATGCTGGCCAGTACTGTCAACCACGAATGTAAAAGGCTCGAGCTCCGGGAGTTGACCGATGACCAATTCAAGTGCCTCATCTTTGTGAGCGCCCTGCAGTCACCTCATGATGCTGAAACCAGGACTCGTTTACTGTCGAAAATTGAAGAGGACCCAAGATCTGCTCTGTAGACGGCCGGATGTCAGTGGCTCAAGAATGTTAGGCATAATTCTGTGATCGTGAAGTAATCCAGTTCCTCGTTTGCCGCCACCAATGTTCATGCTCTCACTCGAACGAAATCGATGTCGCGATAGAAGTCCCAAAACTCCACATTCAAAAAACCTCCATCAGCATGCTTGCAGTGCGTTGACTGGCATTTTGTTCGCTATTGTCCATTCCCCAGACACGTATGTCGTAAATGCCACAAACAAGGGCATAGGAAAGACCACTGTCCGGCTGGCCAACCCCTCAAATCAAGGGCAGGTGACAGAAAGAAGACACATTCCAAACGCCCTTCATCTTATTCTGGTCTCAAGCCTCATTTAATCCTAGCCACATTCTAGACAGAATTTGAGACAAAGAGTAAGTATCTTACGGCTACTATCAATGGCAAACCTGTACGTATCCAGCTCGACACAGCCTCAGACATCAGCCTAATCTCTAGGCACACTTGGCAGATGACTGAACTGCCTCCGATGATCATATCGGACAAAAGTCTATGAATGTTTCTGGCGGATTTCGCCGGCTCACTGGTGAGCTTGAGTTTAACCTTTCCTTTGAGGACACTCAATTCAAGGGAACATGCTACCTTGGCAAACATCCGAAGCTTGACTTAATTGGCCTTGACTGGATAGAGAAATTCGGTCTCCTGGATTTGTCATTTAACCGCATTTGTAATGGTGTGCATTCAACTTCGCGAGTCTCGCCAATTCGAATCAGCTGGCGACAAAGCTGATGTCGACGATTCTACCTCCTGCCGAGGTAAACAAAAAGGAGAAGAAGGAGGAGGAACTAGGAGAGAAAGCGCCAGCGGCTTCCGAGCCCCGTCAGATACCTGGTCAGTCAACTCGCAGCGGCACGTGCAAAAGGCGTGGTGCTCCAACAAAGTTTCCATCCTCCTCTCCCACGAATGCCGCCGACTCCCCAGACCTCTCCACGAGGCACCCCGGTTCAAAAAAGGCACGGACTTTAGCCTCTACGCGACCAAGCCGGAAACGAGTGCGAGCGGTTCCGTCACAAGTGAACCCGCAACTCAAATCTTACGATT